AGGAGCCAGCAGTGTGCCCAGGGGGCCAAGAAGGCCAATGGCATCCTGGCTTGTGTCAGCAATAGCGTGGCCAGCAGGGACAGGGAAGGGATCTGACCCCTGTACTCGGCACTGGTGAGGCCGCACCTCGATTCCTTGTTCAGTTTTGGGCCCCTCACTACAAAAAGGACATTGAATGACTCGAGCGTGTCCAGAGAAGGGCAATGAAGCTGGTGCAGGGTCTGGAGCACAGGTCGTACGGGGAGTGGCTGAGGGAACTGGGGGTGTTTAGTCTGGAGAAGAGGAGGCTGAGGGGAGACCTCATCGCCCTCTACAGCCACCTGAAAGGAGGGTGCAGAGAGCTGGGGATGAGTCTCTTTAACCAAGTAACAAGCGATAGGACAAGAGGAAATGGCCTCAAGTTGCAGCAGGGAAGGTTTAGACTGGATATTAGGAAGCATTTATTTCTAGAAGGGGTTGTTGTGCGTTGGAATGGGCTGCCCAGGGAGGTGGTGGAGTCCCCATCCCTGGAGGTGGTTTAAGAGTCGGGTTGACATAGCGCTGAGGGATATGGTGTAGTTGAGAACAGTTAGTGTAGGTCAGTGGTTGGACTGGATGATCTTCAAGGTCTTTTCCAACCTAGATGATTCTGTGATTCTATTTTAGTAATTGGATGACAGATTCCTCAGCTTTTCTTAAAGTAGACGGCCTGGGTTATGCTGTATCATTTACATGTCTATTACAGGAAGAAGCATAAAAATTAATAAACCCTAAGATTGCTACTACTACAATAATTTTTTTAGTTTTGTTTTTGGTTTTTTTGTTTGTTTGTTGTTTTTGGTGTGTTTTTTTTTTTGTCACCAGAACATTAATAAAGGCCCCCAGTCAAATCTGAGACTCTATTCTGCAATATACAACCAACCAAACACAGAGCTCTTTGGAGGACCAAGAATCAGTAACCCTGAACCACACATCTTAACCAAGCACAAAATAGTACATTCACAAGAATGGGAGAAAAACAGGTAACTGCAGGACTTATTTTTCCTCTTAAATATAAATATCTACAATTGATGAGATGTGCTATGCATCTGAAATTCAAATTTTTCCCTTTGGTTTAAGTAAAAAGTAACGGAGAAATTGTCCCACATCATGCACCTTTAACTACTGTTACTTACCCTCTGCACTAGATTTACACACACCATTACCATCAGCAAGTGTATTTGAGCTGGAAAAGCCAATTGCCCTTTGAATAAATAGTGGCTGATTGTACAGGCAAATGCAGTTCATGCACATGAACAACTGCAAAATTACACACAAGGCGTATTTGATAGATCAAAATAATTCAGGTATGGTGCATATTTACCAGTGATACAGGAAGGAAACTTGATATGCCCATTAAAACACTGCTTGATAGAAGAGTCTGAGAGTTTAAATCCTGTCACGCATTTAAATTTTTGCCACTGACCACTTTGAATCAAAAATGTGCGTCTTTGTCCATTGGGGAGAAGTAGGTTTTGAGCTTCCAGCTGCTGTTTTGTAATGGTACATGGTGCTAGGGGAAAGAAAAAAAATTAAAAATTAAAAACTTTACAGACTTTGGGAACAGTGGTGATGATCTCAAGAGGTACTGATTTCAGGAGACAGTAGACCTTGACATAATTGATTAATGAAATCCGTGGGAGTAAGTCTAATTTTATCCCTGTTGTGTTTCCAATACCTAGGATTAAAAATTAACATTGCAAGATGTCCTGGTTCAACTAGGATAGGGTTAAGTTTCCCCAGCAGAGAGAGAGGGGGAAGGGATCTCCAGCTGGGTTATTCACACCATGCTGAGTCAGGTCCAGGGGTGGGAAACTTTGATTTTACTTTGGCTTTTTGGTGGCGGGGAGCTGCTCCGTGACCATTGCGGTATTTCTCTGAATATCGTTTGTCTTGTTCACTGTTATTACTGTTTATTGTTGTTATCATTGTCACTGTTGTTGTTCAGATTATCACACTGTTGTATTAAACTTTCTTCTTATTTTAACCCGGGGTTTGTGCCTCACTGCCAGCCCGACCAGCTGAGGGTGGGGGAGGCACAATGGCAATGTGCTCTCCGGTCCCGGCAGGGCTTAAACCAACACACAAGACTTCTAACAAAGAGCTCCAAGGAGGAGACTGAAACAGTAAAGCAGCTTACCACAACAGCGCTCCCCCATATATGAGAGACAGTTAGGAAACTACAGGAAAGGATGTCTTCACAAACATAATCATTGTGGGAAAGAGGCTGACACCACTGTCAGTATTGCGCAAGTTCTTGGAAGTACAGGCAAAACATTTAACTGCTTGTAATTTTCCAGACAGCTACAAACTTCTCACAATAAAAACCATAACTGAGTGTAAATGATTTTGGGACACTAAAGCCCAAGATCCACAAGTTAAGAAGTACTGAATCCAGGGAGTAATTTTGGTCTGTTACAGACTTGGTAATCAAGCAACAAATGTAAACCTAATTCTGAAACTCCTACTTCAAGAACGATTAGAATTGCCTAGAAGTACAAAGTCAATCAGCAATAAAGCTTACACTTACCCAAACATTGTGGTGGTCCAGGCACCCAGATTTTTTCATGGCATGTTACCAATTCTGAACCTGATAAAGTGTATCCAGGGTTGCACATGTACTGCACTCTGTCATTTTCCTTATATCCTGATTTATGCCCACTAACAATTTCTCCAAAGTCAACAAGAGGGGGGTCTTCACAGGCTGCTCCTGCAGAAGCTGTGCACAAATTCGTGTTATTTGACTGCACACTGCCTTTTTCTTCTTATCCCAATTAATTCCTACTAGCAATTTCTTCAAAATCAATGATGGGTGGGTGCGTGCTTGCATGCTATCCCAGCAGAAACCATGCACAAGTTCTTGTTAATTGATAGATACAGGACAGTACTGACAGCTGCAAATAATGGCACTACACAGGACTTAATATTTGGATGGCCTACATCTCTTCATCTGGGAAAATACAGTACTAATAAACAGCACTATCTCCTTGTTCTAAGAAATGGTTGTCTTTACTATTTTCACAGTTTTTTGCATTGAAAAAACTAAACTAAAAACATTTTAACTGAAAATATTAATAATCTTCTGAATTTCTCAGAGTACAGTTGCTGTTTTCCAGAACTGGAATAAACTTTCTAGAACTGGAATAAAATTTTACACATGCAGTCATGATTCTCAAATTTCTTTAATTCTACAAATAAATCCATTTGTCACAGCTTCCTAAAATTAGTTCCACCTTTTTAAAATGAAAGAAGTTGGATCATTTTTTCAAAGTATAAGGTACATATAAGAAAAAAACTTTTAAAGGCAGAGGGAGGAGAATGATCTCGATATAATGAACAGATTTAAATGGATCAATCATGGAGTTTAAAACTGGTTATTTTAATAAAGGTGCATATTCAGTGAAGATCTCCTTCAGGCAGAAAGTTTTTTGGTTTTTTTTTTTATCATACAACTTCGTGAAATAACAAAGTACCTGTATTTTTAAATACTTGTATAGTGTTTTAAAACCAAACTAGTATCCTGCATTTTTAATAGTATGTATTCAGAATAACAGTAGTTAAATTGACATACAAAGAAATTTATATGGTTAATGTATTTTAAGTGAGTTATATCTTGTAATATACTAGGTTCTTTATGATAGTCTTTTAAGTTCAGGCACAAGGCAAGAAGCAAGCTCATACAAGCAAATACAAAGCAAATATTCTCAAATGCATTGTTCTCAATTATAACTCTCCTTCCAAACTTCTGAAAGGAATTCTATAAAGAATAAACTGTACAGTTGTGGGGTTTTTTTAGTTCATTTTTCTTGATTGTCACCAGCTACATCACTTAAAAACATAGTTTTCCATTTAATAACTTACCTTTACATGTAGGACAGCCCAAACACAGCAGAAACACTATGGTGTAGCTCAGCAGTATCATTTCCAAGCTTTAGAAGTTAAAGACGTTCTCTGCAACAGAGTTGTTATTTTCTGTACTCCAAACTGCATGCACTTGCATTCACTCCCAAGATTCCTGGGGCTGTCATTTCAATCTCCTCCTCTAATTTTCTTGCAACACAGCAGTTAATCTGTACAGATAAATTATGCAATTGTTGAAAAATGCTTCAGTACTTTTTTTCACAAAAACTTTTCAGACTGAACTTGACACAGAAGAATTATGAAACCCATATCCAAAAACTCATAATGTGTTTATAATACACAGTATAGTCCACTTAGCTCTTCAAACTTAAAATTTTGTAATGGACAAAACTACCTTATATGTGGAGCCCATAATTTATTATAAATCTGCTTAAAATTTTAACAGCCTAATAAAAATACTGTTATTGTTAGTCCACTTCCCACAATGCTAACATTCATAGTCCAAACTAATGCGAGAGCCGCAGTAATGCAAACTTTTTTTAAGAAAAAGTGTTTTACAGAAAAAACTGTCCTAGACCTAGCAGCATCCTCTGGTGCTATGCTCATCCTTCCTTGGCTCCTCTGGTTGACAGGATCAGTCTTTCTCAAGGAGGCTAGCAAGACAGGAGGGGAAAGCCACAGTGAACCATTACTGTACAATGGTTTTTGTTGGGAAGAGTTCAATGCAAATAGCAAGAGTCCCTTCCTCCTAAGTACTGAGGTCTCCTTGTGTTTACATGTATGCATTTTCTTAATACAGCCTCCTTTTTTGGATCCCAGTTGTTCAGTGTCTGTGTTCATCAAAATTGGGTCTACCTGGACAAGACCAATTTGCACTTCTGCTGGGGCCGCTGCTTGGCCACTGTGGCTTGTTTTTAGCCTTTGACCTCTGTTCATCCTTGTCTCATCCCACATTCTCCTTTTCCACACCACATTTTAGTCTGGAGTCATAGATAACTCAATAACTGTTTGTTACCAGTAGGAATTAGAACTAAACTAAAAAACATCTAGGCAGCCAATGGGGTGATTCCTAAACAACTTCTATCACAGCTAAACAAGCCAAAATCAGCTCAAGACAAACCCAGCCAAGCCTAGAGATCCTGCACTGTCAAGTCAACACAGAGTCTCAGTTGTCTTATTAGCAATGGCAAAAATCATATTTATTGGGCTACACCAGCAGAACAACTTTGAATGGAGCTCCATCCTCACATGACAATACTAAGATTATTTTCAAGATCATTTTCTGTGGAATTTCTTACACAATCTTCTGATTTAGGACATCCTCATTTTTTTCTTCCAATGCACTTGTTACCAGGAACTGTTGTGGGTTAACTAACCCACAGGATTAACTAACATAGCAATTGACTGAGGGTTTTTTCTCCCTTCAAAAACACACATGGCATTGTTTTGTTCACTGAGTAACACCCGTCCAAGGACCAACTGATATTGCTACTACTATATACACTAATTTCATCATTATTGATATGCCACTTCATACAATCGTCAGAATTTCAAAACACTTTGCAGAAAAGCATTTTTCTTGTTGACAAAAGTCTCAGTAACAAATATCCAATATTAACAGCTATAGTAACCATTTTTAAAGGAACTAAGCACATTCCTCAGACAAAACCAGGAATATAAATGTGCCACTAATATTTCTAGAGGGATGTATCATTTATTTGTATTTTTGATTGCTACATGTTAGTCCAACATGACCATAAGCAGTAACTGTCATTTATAGAGTCTTGGCGGGTTTGCAATATAAAACAATGAACTCCACAAACAGTATATAACAAAGCTTTCTGGATTTCACTCTCAGTCCAATCTTTCTGGCTCACTTCTTCCTCACCTTCTTAACTCTTCTGTGCTTCAGAAAGACTGGTCTCTCTCAGGAATTTTTCCTTTTAGTATAGCACTAAGAAGAACAAAAAAGGTCAAGTAAAATAGAATTAATTTCCACCTTATCTGCCACCATTCCTGCCCCTCTTCATAGGTCATTAACTTTAATCATTAACTTTTGGCTTCATTTGTAACTCAGTCACTGGAAAACACTCTAAATAGCAATTGCAGATCTGGCAGCTGTTTCCAGTAAATCAGCTCAAAAAGTGGTTGCATAATTTCTATTACGATAGGTAGATTATTTATTTCTTTATCAGAAAAAGTTACTTCATTTACTGCCAAGCAAATCAGAATAAGGTAATGAGAAATAAATATTAAACCACCTTCCCTCCATCTCTCCCTTGTTCCCAGGTTCAACTTTGCTCCTGATTTCTGTACCTCTTCCCCCACAGCAGCTCAGGGGACGGGGGTTGTGGTCAGTTCATCGCCCGTTGTCTCTGCTGCTCCTTCCTCCTCAGGAGGAGGACTCTTCACATTCTTCCCCTGCCCCAGCGTGGGGTCCCTCCCACAGGAGACAGTCCTCCACGAACTTCTCCAACATGGGTCCTTCCCACAGGGCTGCAGTTCTTCACAAACTGCTCCAGCGTGGGTCCCTCCCACTGGATACAGTCCTCCAGGCACTGGCTGCTCCAGCACGGGTCCCCTGCAGGGTCACAAGTCCTGCCAGCAAACCTGTTCCCGCGTGGACTCCTCTCTTTCCACAGGGCCACAGGTCCTGCCAGGAGCCTGCCCCAGTGTGGGCTTCCCCCAGGGTCACAGCCTCCTTTGGGTGAATCCACCTGCTCTGTACCACGGGCTGCAGGGGAACCTCTGCTCCGGCACCTGGAGCACCTCCTCCTCCTCCTCCTTCACTGACCTTGGTGTCTGCAGAGCTGTTTCTCTCCCATGTTCTCACTCTTCTCTCTGGCTGCAGTTGCCCTCCCTTAGTTTTTTTCCTCTCTCTTTCTTAAATCTATTATCCCAGAGCTGCTACCACCATCGCTGATGGGCTCAGCCTTGGCCACTGGCAGGTCCCTCTTGGAGCCAGCTGGCATTGGCTCTGCTGGACGTGGGGGAAGAAGCTTCTGGCAGCTTCTCACAGAAGCCACCCCTGGTACCAAAACTTGACACAGAAACCCAATACACTTGGTTAAAACATGCCAGTCTGAATCAGCACACACAGCACTCAAAGCTTCGACTGTTACAGGAATTCCCGATTTGTGAGTTTATATCCAGACAAAAGTCAGTTTCCTCAATTCTATACCATGGAGACAGAGAACTTAACTGGAAAACAGAAATTACAACCTATAAATAAATCTGAGTGCCTTTTAGGCTGATGTTTGCAAAAAAAAAAAAAGCATAAATGCAATTTTGTTAGCAAGAGAAAAGGCCTCTGTTATTATACAACAATGATTTTAAACTGAAAGAGGGTAGATTTAGATTAGATCCAAGGAAGAAATTCTTTACTGTGAGGTTGTTGAGACACTGGATGAGGTTGCCCAGAGAAGCTGTGGCTGCCCCCTCCCTGGCAGTGTTCAAGGCCAGGTTGGACGGGGCTTTGAGCAACCTGGGCTAGTGGAAGGTGTCCCTGCCCATGGCAGGGGGGGTGGGACTGGATGAGCTTTAAGGTCCCTTCCAACCCAAACCATTCTATGATTCTATGATAACAGATAAAAGGCTGATCTTGAAAAAATTTGCACAAGCCAAACTTAGTGCAGAAATATTATCATATCATCCATCTTCTCCCAAGCCAGCACTATCACTATGGAATGAGAGTTGAGATCTATCGCCATTATGATGCTATTGAAAAGCTCTGATACACAAGGAAAGGCACCAAAAGAAACAAAATTATTCTTTTTATCATGCCTCACTCAACCCAAGAAAAAAACAATTCTGAATATTTCATAAGAAAAGAAGGCAGTGAGGAGACCTTATTTCTGATTTTGGCTTCCTAGTGGGAGAGTACAGAGAAAATGGAGCCATACTCTTCTCAGAAATGCAGTGATAGAAAGAAGACAACAGACACAAATCTACAGCAAATGAAGTTCTAGTTAGATATCAAGAGAAAAGATTTACCATGAGGGTGGATAGACATTGGAACAGGTTGCCCAGAAAGGTTAGAAAACATCTTCTTGGAGATACTAAAAACTCAGACAGACAAGGTCCTGAGCAACCTGATTCTTATTTTGCAATTCTATGCCTAACTATGCAGAAAGCCAGCAAAAGTTCAGAACTGTTGAAAGGTTAAATTGAAGTTTTTGGTGTGTTGATGGTTATTTTAAGAGTTATTCTAGCACCATGGTTTTGTTAAATCTAAACAAATAATGCCAAAGATAAAAAATAATTTTCTGCATCCAAATATACTTAGGTCAGAAACACTCCCGGGCTTGTGTGTCACTGAGCCTCATTAGCACTGTATATTACACATACTCTAAGCACAGTGTTTTGACAGATGTGCTTCCGGCATCTCAGCCACACCGGGACAAGATCATGCCTGAGCTGTCTGCCTGCAGCAGCTTCTCAGCTGTCACAGCAGTGCATGTAGCTAATCTATGTTTTCCTGTACTTCCTAGCTATATTTGCATGAATATATTCTGGGAAAATTAAGGTAGTGGAAAGGCACATTAACAGTTTCCTTGCCCTCCAAAAAGCAACTTGATCACTTCCTGTGTCTTCATTAACTTCTGTGTTCAGTTGGCTTTGTAATGTGTGTGGTAAGTCAAGATTTGAAGGTTTTTTTCAGGTTTTGAAACCCAAGCTGTAGTTCTCTTTTTCATACACTTAATTCTGCTGTGCTAATTAACAGAAATAACATAGCTCAAGATTTCAAAATGCAAGCAACAGGTTTATTTTCAAATAATTCATGAAAAAAAAAAATTGAAAAATTAAAGAAATCCACGTTCTCTTCACCAAACACCTGGAAGCCGTCCTGGATATGCTGAGAAAAACCCCAAAACCCCAATAAAACCCCACAAGAACAAGAGAATTAAATACACTAACACAGGCTGGTGTTAGGAAGCAACTCGGAAGATGCTGATGCTATCAGACCTGGAATAGGCACCAATACCATGATACGTGGATGCTCCATCCATTGGCCTCAAGTGTTCCCCCCTGCTAGGTAGAGAATGTGCCCTCCCTTCCTGCCCTGAACAGATCTTCCAGACCATGGAAACAGGTTTGATCTCTGTGGTACAGT